ACTTAAGAGTCAAAAGTATGTTACTGTATTTTCTTCATAAATATTTTCAGAGACAATGTTATTTAATGGATGTACCACAACTTTTTTTTTTCGTCTTTTTATTGGTACCAGGGATCGAACTCACAACTGCCTGCTTGTAAGGCAGGCGATTATGCCGCTGAGCTAAATCCCCAGCCCCCAACCATACTATTCTGTAATTAAACTCGTAAAACAATTCTAATATCTGTTCATAAGGCTTTTTTTTTTTTTTTTACATTTAAAAATACTTCATTTACATTCTTACAGGGTTGCTATGTCAGGAAATAGGAATATACTTTAGGATCTTAATATAGATGACCAAATGTAACAAAGAAGAGTGCCATTTTAGCCAGGCACTGTGGCACACTCCTGCAATCCCAGCACTCGGAGGCCAAGACAGAAGGACTGTTACAAGACTGTTATAAGTTTGAGACCACCTGGGATACAAAGTGAGCTCAAGGCCAGCCTGAACCACAGTGAGACCCTCTCTCAAAAAAAAAAAAAAAGAGAGAGGGGCCATTTTTATCATATCTTAAAAGGCATAAAGAACTAAAATTGCTTTACTCTAAATTTAGATCTGTAGTCGGGCGTGATGGCTCATGCCTCTAATCCCAGCACTTGGGAGGTGGAGGCAGGAGGATCGTTGCAAGTTCAAGACCAGCCTGGGTTACAAAGTGAGCTCAAGGCCTGCCTGAACTACATAGCGAGACCATGTCTCAAAAAGACAAAAAAAATAAAATAAATTTAGATCTGTATTAAACTAGTGAAAACTAACATCTTCAGTATAAAAGTATTTATTATAAAAATCACTGAAACAATACAATGCACATGAAATTGAAATACCTTTCTTCCTATGCCCACCCTTGGAGCTAATTAGTGGCAACTGCTTTCCATAGATTCTTCTAAATCCTGATCTGCTTTTATTGAAAGGTAAACATGATTTTCTTTTGTTCCTTATCAAAAAAGGGTCAGGAATCAAACTTGTTTTTTGGCTCAACAGTGTATCACAGACGTCCATCCAGGCGACTCCAATCCACACACGTCTGCCTGTCTCCTTAGACACAAATACTCCACAGCACCAGCTCTGCTGTGGTTACCTTCAATTGTGCCTCACCATAAATGAGGCTGCAGCAAGTATCCACCTTTCATGGTAACTGTTCGCGCCCAAGACACTGCAGAGCCCCTGGCTTGCTTACCCACATAACTTAAATCATTTAGGTACAAGGTTTTACTTTTCACAGTTTTGGTACATTTAGGTTTTGTTTGCCACTGTTCTCTAGTTTTGTTGCTACTGAGAACAGAATCTTCTCCTCTGTAAGAGTAACTGCTAATCATCTGATCATTAGTCAGATGCACTATTAAGCTCTTTACATATTATAGACATTAACTTTTGCTTATCATTTGTCACAAGTATTTTCTGGCTTTTGACCACAGGATTCTGTTCCCTTTTCCTCTTAACTTTTAAACGTTTATGTACTCTAGCACAGATTTTTCTATATATTATTTTCTCCCTGTCTTCATATAGTGGCAACAAAAACAGATTTGAGTGTCCTGCAGGTGCAGGGCCTTTCTCTCTCACTCTACAAGCTCCCGAGAGGCAGGGATTGTCTTTACAAGATTCCAGTTAGGTCCAGCTGGCCGCAAGGCCTGTGCGAGGTGTGCAGAGCTCTTCTCCCAGATGTTTATGTGCCCAACTTCCATGTCCCCTAGGTTGGGGGCATTCGCGCTGAGGTAGCCTTACGGTGTCTTCCCGTACCACACAGCTCACTTCTGGGGTGTGGAACGGACTCGTCACCTGTCCAACAGATGCCCTGAAGCCAGGAGGATCATTTTAGTGAATGTAGCTCTAAAATCTGAGTATACTTGTCTTGCCATACTACAGCTCATGATTAGACCAGCGGCTGTGGGAATTTCTGATCCTCATTGCACAGAAACAAACTCCTTCACACCATCAAGTTCACTGAGGAAACGACAGCTCTGTAACACTTAACTGTTGTCACATCCAGAAACACAGCTTCTCTTTACATTAAAGGTGTTCACTCTTCCAGATCACTTGAAATATTTTGTGGTCTCCTCCACGTAGCTCATGCTTGTCTCAACAAGGCTGTACCTACAGGTTTCATTTTTTAATAGTGTGGTCAATGCCAGTTCCCTCTCTTGTTTCTCCCATTTTATTCTGTGCTGTTACATTTGTTATTCAGAAAACTATGAACCCTAAACACGCACTGCATCCTGCCATTCTCTCAGGCTCTCGTTTCATCATTTGCTATTCTCTGTGTAGTCCACTGCCTCTGCATTTCTCACTGTAGAGCCTCACCTCACTCATGTGTTATGGCTGTGTTAAAACTGACCAGAGAAACTATGTTATACAATGTTCCAATCTTTAACTTCACCCCTGTTAAGTATAGTGTGGGCCATTAGTTAACATTTGTTTGGGCTTTTTCATCGAAAAATGCCCTATTTTTTCCTACTTTTATTCAAGTCTACCTTTCTAAAGTAAGAAATGAGAACTGTTTAAAATCAAACATCTAAAATAAAACAATGTCTAGAGTGAGGCACTGCGACACATGCCTGTGGTCCCAGCACTCAGGATGCTGAGGCAGGAGGATCACTTCAAGTTCAAGGCTTGCCTGGGCTATGCAGGAGGGAGTTCAAGTCCAGCCTGAACTACATAATAATGAGACCCCATCTCAAAAATAAATCAAATCAAATATCTGCTTTGACTTTCCAGTTGGCTGCATAAATTCACTGTGAGCCCCAAGCCCTGACTGTCCTAGACAGCCTGTGAAATGGCCTGCTGTCTCCACTTCCCACCTACACCCCCCAGGCTGCATGTGGCAACTTGAGCAGTTGTTTAAAAATGCAAATCTGATTAGGTCACTCCTCTGCTTAAAGCCCAACCTATATAATGGTTTCCCATTTCCCCCCAGGACAAAAGGCAACATCCCTAACCTCCCTACAAGACCCTACATGACTGGGCCCAGCCAAGCCACACTCCCCCTCACCCACACTACCTAGCCTTCAATTCCTGGAATGGGCGAAGATTTTCCCCTTCAGGGCCTTCCCACGTGCTGCCCCATCAGCCTTGAAAATTACCCCCTACTTCACTTGACACCCACGCCTGCCATCTTCAAACCTCAGCTTAAATCTTATTTTTGCAAAAAAAAAAAAAGAAAAAAAAAAGTCTTGTTTTGAGCATCCTCTTCCCCATCTCCAATGTGCTCCCTGACTGTCCCAGGAGACAGGATCATCTGGGATTAGACCAGCAGTCCCCCCAGAGAGGACACAAACTTCCAGAGAACAGGAGCAGGCTGATTTTCTCATCCACCCTAGAGGCTCTCACACATATGTACCAGTGGAAGGGAAAATCCTACAAAACACCTCACTGTGTTTCTTATACCTTAAAACACTGCCCATCACATCATTTATTCACTAGGATAAACAGGTAAAATTTCTCACATTGCCTGCAAATTCCCTGAAGGGACAGAAAAGCTAATCTGAACCTGCTGGTGCCACCACAAAAAAACACATATATAATTTACATCAATAGGAAAAAAAATTTTCTTTATATCTTAGAATTAAGTTTTATCCAGTGTTCAATTTGCTGAGAAGTCAATTCATAATCAATTAATGTGTTCATTTTTAATGTATGTTAAAAATAGCACCATATGCTTTGCAAAATATTCTTTAGGAAGTAGAAACTGTTTGGCTAAAAACTGCAACAAAATCACAAAATTAAAAGCACTCAGTTAACTATCTCTAGCATAGTGATAGATTTGATGAAAAAATACAAATTATATAGAATGAACAACTTTTAGTTTACAAAGGCTAATGAGACAATTTTTTTAAAAACCACATTATACCAAGCACTTTCACAGGTAGGACTGCAGCCTGAGCAGGTAACTATCACTGCTTCCATTTACAGAAACTGAGGCTGGGTGTGACTGAGTGTCCTCCCCAAGGTCACAGGACTAGTAAGCAGTCTAGTCATAGCTACCCCAGGGGAAGAGAGGAAGTTCCCACACATAACCAAAGAGGATTTCTACCATAAACACTTGGCCTCTGTAATTAGCAGACCTGTGCTCCCTTTACTAAAATTTCATCTCATCAGAGAACCACGACCCAACAAACCTGTTTTAACGTTAAAACTGAAATTGTCCTCAACCTGGGAAATGGCTAAACCACAGCCCACTCAAACTATGCAACGCGCTGCAGCAGTTCTCGTAAATGCATTAAAGCACTACATGCTAGACCCGAAAGCATACTAGTTGGCTAGTACTTGTTAAAACAGTCAAGATGGTAAAGCACCATATAAAAGTATTTTAAAACATCTATTAGGACACACAACACGCACACAGTAAAGTCCTTGGAGAAGGGTTGACAGCCAAAAGACTTTCACCACCTCTATGACACATCCCTCTTTGCAAAGAAAATGTCCAGCTCTACCAATCTACTATTAATTTTTAAATTTGAAATTTACCGATAGACGAACGAGGTCGTTGTTCTGCTCTAAAAAAGCTATGCATCTACAAAGGAAGGGCACCCTCCAGAAAAAGATAAAATGCACTAAAAGAGAGTTCGATCTTGTTAAAACAATTAACTGGCTACACGTCAAAAAACGTTCCTTACAAACAAGGCAATAGCTTGAGTTTTTTTTTTTTTTCTGCAATAGCGGGTCCCCTTTGTTACTACAAGACAGCCAATAAGGAAAACTATCAACTCGAACAGTGCAGAGCGGGCTCCTCCTCGAGCGATCTGAGTTGTTGGAGTTGGACAAGAATGGTCTCACAAAAGAGCTGAGTTCTGAGGGGAAAGAGAGGTGACTTGGCGGAGATAAGGGCGGCTAATCTGGAAGGGAAGACGTCCGTGGATACACAGCGACTTCATCGGAGCAGGGGACGGCAAGGAAACTGCGGCCAAGTGCCGGGAGGAGAGAAAGCCCCGGCCAGGAGTGCGGGGAGCTCGCCTGCCGGCCAGTTTACCTGCGAGCGCCCGGCCCTCGTTGTGGTCAAACAATGGAGGCGTCCAGCGGCTGCAGCCCGGTGCGCGGGGCGCGCGGCTCGTTCCTCATCACCTGGGCGGGATGCTGGCGGCTTCCGCCCCGACGAAGGCGCTGGAAAACACACAGCAGCGCCCGCTGCAGCGGCGGCCCGCAGCACCCCGGCGCCGGCCCGCGGCGCGGCCCTCGCCGCCCTCCCGGGACCCGCCTGGAACGGCTCCAAGCGCGGCCGCCGGCTCCGCACTCCCCCTTCGCTGCGCCCCGACAACAATGGGCCGGCCCGAGGCCCGGCGCCCGCGGCCTCCGCCCGGCCTCGCCCCGCACGCTGCCCGCCGCGGCCTCGCGCCGGCGCTGCGGCCCCGCGGCCTCCTGAGACCAGAGACCGGCTGGGGGCCCGGCTGTGGCCCGCCCCGAGGCCGGCCGGCTGCGGGCCGGCGCGCTGACCTTCGTCCCCGCGGTCCCCGAGGGCCGCCGCGGCTCGAGGCCCGTCCGGAGCGACGGGTTGTTTTCCTTTTCTCCACCCCACTCCGCCGCCTTCCGACCCCCCGGCCCGCTCCCCCGCCCCCACCCAGGGAAGAAAACACGGAGACGCCGACTTGACTGCGGAACTCACTCCAAGTGCGGGTGCGAGCGCCCCAGGCCGCGGAGTCCGCGCGCCCACTCGCCCTCTCCTTCGGGGACAGCTCACAGGTGCGCCTCCGAGCCGCGCGCGCACGCTCCGCACACCCAGACGCCTCCGGGGGACGGCGCGCGTGCGCACGCACGAGGCCGGCCAGCCCCGGGAACGAAGTGTAGAGCAGTGAGGGCACGCATGCGCGTCCCCAGCACCCCGCCCCCAAAGCCGGCGCGCGCGCGCTCCCGCTTGCCTCCCTCAACGCCCCCCGCCCTCCGCCCGCGTTACCCGGGGCAACCGCAGTGCGGCCGCACCTGAGCGGTGCGCCTGCGTCCTACCCGCCAGACCCTCCCCCGTACTGCGTCGTCGTCCCCGCCCCGCCACAACTGGGGACGGCGGGGCGTCGCCCCCTCCTCGCTGAGGGAGCATCGATCGGCTCCCCAGCCCCACCCCGCACGCACAGACCCGCCGCCGCGCCGGCGCCGCTCCCGCCCGGCCGGTCAGCGCCGCCAGGCCTCGCCGCCGGCTCCCAGCGTGCACCGCGGCGGGCGCTCGCAGGGAGCCGGCGAGATGCGCCGGGCGGGCGGCGCCCACTGACCTGGCTCGGCCCCCGCCCATGGGCCGCGGGCCCCCGCCGCCGCCCGCCCGCCGGGAGGACCGCGCCGAGCCGGGAGCCGCCTGAGGAGGGACCGGACGGCCGCCGCGCCGCAGGTGAGGCGGGGCCCGAGCGCGCGAGTCCAGCCCCGCTCACCTGGCGGCCCGGCGGGACCGGGTTCGCGTAGCCGCTGCCGAATGAGCTCTGCGCGCCCCGCCGGAGGAGGGGTCCTGCCTCGGGGTGCGGGCCGGGGGCCGCCAAGGGTGCCCTCCCCGAGACGGTCCCGGGGACTAGTGGAGGGAGGGGCGCCGGCCGGGGCGCGGCGCTGGGGGAGGCGAGGCCGCGGGCGGGACGCGGGGGAGGGGGAGCCGCATTGCAGGTGCGGAAGCCGGGCCTGGCCGCCGGGCCGGGGCGCTGCGGGAGGAGGCGGCGCCGTCCGGGTCCGCGGCGCTTGCCACCTGCTGCCCGCCACCCTGCCACCTTGCGGGCGAGGGACCTCCCGATGAGCCGCACAGCCCTGCCACTCGAGAGCCCTCCGCGTAAGTCCTCTGTCTCCGTACTGCCCCTTTCCGAAGCGGGGACGTGGGCTCGAGTTTTATTCCCCTCGTTAACACTTGCCTGGTGATTCCCGAAACGGAGCGTAAGGCACAGATGCGCAGAGCTCCAGGTTTGGCTGCGGAGCTGCCGTCCCTCTCCAGTGAGTTACTCTAGTTTCTCTAACTTGCGTTTTCCTGCTGATCTGGTTTGTTTAATTTCAAGCATCGATATACTGACAAATACGATCGAGTCCACTAATGAAAAGTAGAGGGGACCTCAGAGAATATACAGCGTGCTCTGGAATTTACCTTGGCAGTTGTCAGTTTTATAACAAAATACCAATTCCCAGGCTGTAATACTAGATTGCGCATTTCCAGAAATCTGTAAGAGAGTTAAGGCTGGAGTCGCCGTTCAAAAACTGTTAAGTTTAAAATTGCAGGAGCATTGTTAGTTTACTAAATGATTTTTTTGGGAGGCACAGTCAGGGGTTTCCCTGCATTTTCCCGTCATTGAATTGTAAAGGAAAAGAAGCTCTTCAGGTGACTTTTATCTCCAAAAATGTTCAGAATATTTGTGCATTTCTTGTGACTAACTGCTCACTCAGGTGGCTGAATGTTTCAAATACGTTTGGAGAAGGCTTCAAGTCTGGTGATTTTTTTTTTGTGTAGATCTGTACTCCTATATATATTACTGAAGTACCTTAAAATAGGTTTTATTGCTTCCAACATGTTATACTTAGTAAGTGTAGTTTAGATGGATGTGCAGTTTAAAGCACAAGATAATTATTTGTGTCATGGACCTTTACTGTAACAATTAAATGTGTCAGTCTAACAAATAGGCTTTCAGGCATTAGATCATTTTATTGTAGAATTTTTTAAGAAGTAAATGAGGGGCTGGGGATTTAGCTCAGCGGCATAAGCGCCTGCCTGGCAAGCATGAGGTCATGAGTTCGATCCCTGGTACCAAAAAAAAAAAAAAAAAAATAGAAGTAAATGAATCCTTTTACTCTCAGAGATCATTCGCTTTGGGGAGAGGTTCTTAACTCTTTCCTGTATTGTAAGTCAGAAAATTGATTTTAACATCAGTACCTAGCTGAGCTACATTAGCAGCAGTCACGATGTTACAGAGTTGATCCTGATGCTTTTAAGAAATCGTTATAAAGCATTTTCTTGTATTTCTGGCAAAATACTTAGATCTTTTTCCTTCTGTCTAGAACAAGGTCAGCTATAACAAGATCCTGATGCACAGTGGGCCCACGGTTATTAATGGAGATTATTTGTATCTATCGATTTCCATTCCTTGGAGAGCAGTGGCAGGCGTCTTCATGCACCTCAGCCTCTGAGGCTGCAGGCAGAGGAGAAGAGGTCAGGGCCAGCTTGGTGACACCACTGTTCCCATCACCAGCTTTTACGTTGCATCTTGCAGAAAGCTTTGGACAGGAAAGTGAATGTATCCTAATGGTCTTCAAATATTCAAAAGTGTGATAGGCAGCAAATTGATTTTATTAGAGCAATTCCCAAGTACAGAAGTAGAGACATAATGCTTAGAGGAAGATAGACTTTCCAACGGCACAAATGCAGGAGTTGTCAGGATTAGAACTTCTGCAGTGGAAAGAAGGGGCTGCTCCTTCCTGGGAGGGCGGAGTCTTGATGGGCTGGTCCCTCGATTAGCTGGAATGCTCCTGGGAGGTATCACGGGTGTCACAGGGCAGCTTCTAAGGGTACCGGTGGCAGTGAGGTTGGATGGTGGTTCCATTCAGGGACTCTGCATTTCGTTTCTTGTTGTATGATTCTTTATTTCTCATGCCGGGTCCCACAGTTGTGGGCATAGCGACCTCCCTAAACACTTGGTGAAAAAGCCTCAGAAGGTTTGTACCTGGTCTTCTGCCTGCTGAGAGAGATGCTCTGACCTCACCTTGCCTTGGTGTGGGGCCTTCTGGATAATAACGTGCTTACAGTCAATGTGTTGTCTTAAAGGGTGTTTTTAAAACTAAGTGTTTTTGTGTTTTTTTTCCTTTGGTTTTTTTGTTCTACAGTGAACATTTAATCAACAGGAAAATCTTTTTCTGGGGAGGCAAGTAGAGGGGTAGGTTTTGTTTTGTTTTGAAAAAAGATCTTTTTCAAAATGAAATGGTGTTGGTCTTTTGAGTCAGCAAGTTATGTAGGCGCATGAGAACAGTTTTTAAGACACCGATTAAAAGAACGATTTCTGTGCTGGCTCTGCAGTTTAGTTTCTGTTTATTTCATTACTCAAACATGACTCAAGTGTCATAGCAAGAAGAGTCCAGTCATCTCCACCTACAGTAAATAGCATTGAATTTTTTCAGCATGCCAGCAGCCAGAAATAAAACAAAGCTGAGATAGGATCACAGTGAACCGAAAAGATTAGGTGAATGGGAGCTTTGTGTTTGAAGAAGAAAAAGATGCATACTCTTCGTGCTTGATCACTGTTGGGAAGGGTGAATTTAGCAGCTTCGGGAGTAACAAAGACTAGGGCATCGTCACAGGTCCGTCCCAGTGCGCGTATTAAGTGGGTCAGCAGGGTGAGGACTCGGCAGAGCAGCTTCCTGTGATCATGCATCAGAATCCCCCTACTGGGGGAGGATTCTACCTACAGCCAGGACTGAAGTAGAGTAGACAGTGACAAGGCCAGGGAAGTAGATACTGCTGCCTGGCCTCTCCAGTCTAGGAGGAAGTTAGGGGGAAAAGTCCGTATTACTATACACGTGTACTTAATTATATTTGTTTGTTTTTGTTTTGAGACAGGGTCTTGCTGTGCAGCTCAGGATGACCTTGAACTCACCATGTAGGTTGAATTCACAGCGATCCTCCTGCCTCAGTCTCCCAAGTGCTGGGTTCACAGGCATGCAACCACCATACCAGGCTTCAAACACTTTAATAGTTCCTCTCTTTTGTCTGCTAAAGCAGATTTTTTTCCCCATGCTTTTGTGCCTCCCATCAACTGAATTTAGGTATAATAAGTGATCCCAAAGTTTGTCTGCACAAGAATACATAATTTATAAAGAATGCATGAAGGGAAGAGAGACAAAATCAAGCTGTTCTGGCCTACCAGAAACTAAAATAAGAAAATGTTAGGAAGTATGTATTCCTTCAGGGAAAAAAAACCCACTGATGCTATTTTAAATATTATTACCAGGACAACAAACGATCAAGTAAGGCAGCCGGCAGCCGGAGCTCAGCCTTCTGAGAGGTCAAAGGTCACATTTCAAAGCCTTTAGCCAGTCTCTGAAGGTGTCACACCGTTACCAGAGACTGCTTTGTTCACGAGGGCACTGGGGTAGCGTGTCTCTGTGGGCATCTCCACCTGAGAGTGATCTTTCCTGATGCTCCTCACTTCCTGCTTTACCAGAAATCACTTTAGAGAGGGAGACAGCCGCTCCCCGCAGCTGTGGGGGAGGAGAGGCTGCGCTTTCGCCTTGATGCTGAAAGGCCTTGTTCTGGCGGAGTCCTCAGCACTGAGCAGCAAAATGCCCTTGGTCAGCACCAAAGGAAAGAAGTGGCTTCACGAGAAGAGCCAGGGGCAGGGTGGTGGCTGCTTGAGGCACAGTACTTGGGAGTCTCCTGGGCAGTGGCTGGAATATTAAATTTAGATCTGTATGAGATGCATTGTCCCCTGCCCTTCAGATCCCTTCCCGAGCTATGTGAGTCCTCTGCCGTTGTGTGACGCACAGTGGGCGTGTGTACAAGGCCCTCTTTGAAGTCCGTTTTCCTAGGTAACTGGCTCAGACTTGACGGCTTCCTATAAATTATAATAGCTTGCATTATTGCAGTACTGTCTGTCCCAAAGCTGCAAGTGCTCCCTAGAAACGGGTGGCCTTTCGCTCCAAAAAGGACGCAGAGGCTGCACAGAAGTCCTGGTTTCCCGAGAGCAAGCTGTCTCTGTCACGCAGTGTCCTGGGACTCCAGTTTCCAGCAGCTCTTAGCCTGATTTCTCAAATGAAATAGTGACAGGCCATGTCCTGAATGTGGAAAGAGGCTTTGAGGCTGCGCCTCTCCAGCCGTCACCTGTGCAAGGCACCAGGGTCACCCCTCCCTCCGTGACCCCTGAGGGCAGATCAACTTTTTACAGATACTTAAGTATTTGCTCCATGAGAACCAAAGTGCTTTAGTTTTATGCACCCAAAGACGAGAACATAGCAGAGGTTACTAGGTGTCTCCTGTCTCCAAGAAAGGCCATTCTCAGATTACAAGTCACTTTTCTGTTTGCTCAAATCCCAGTGACCAGGCCACAGAGTCCAGTGATGAGAGCAGCAGCTCCAACCATTAGAGCTCTGCACACCAGCTTGCCCTGTCACTGTCAGGAGGGAGAGGAACCCTTTGGGTGGGAAACACAGGGTACACAGCCCTTCTTGCCTCTGCACAGGGTGACAGGTTTCAAGTGGTAAACCGTTGTCCACCAGGAAAGTAATCAGGTGAGTTCCAATGGAAGGAGTTTTATCAGTCTGCTGTGGCTGTGGTGTCACCCCCAGTGTGGGGAGGACCCAGGCCAGACACTGTGGATTAAGTGTTTCCAGGAGAGGCAGTAAGCTGGAACAGTAGCCAGGAGCTGGGCCTCCTTA